ACAGGCTTTATTTCGTCTGTGTCGCATGATCCGGCGGTAACATATAGCAGCCTCTTTTCAGAGACTTATGCAGCGGTTCCCTTCGAGGGCAGGGGCTTGATTCCGCCTGTTGGAGGCCAGGAGTGAAAGCACTGCACCTTCGTCCACTCAAGGAGGAACTTTCTACAGGAAGGTAATTGCTGGGAACAAAGGTTTGAAGCGATGCCATCTGGCCTTGTTGGATAGTGTTTACAGGGAGAACAGCTACCCTACTGTTCTCCTTTACCATGTTGGATGCCCCTGGGACTATAGCTGGCACTCTTTTTCTTCTCATCACTATTTTTAACGCCGATTCAGGTCAGTCCCTCGAAAGCTGAGAAGTACTGTGTGCGTGTGTTATACATACACTCGGAAAAAGTTATCAAGTCGCCAGAATGAAAGTAAATCCTGCGTCTTCGTATGCGTTCATAAATAAATACTTGCCATTTCTCTGTAAGATCATAGTATGTTTATTCTCCGACGGTTTGAGATGCTTATAAAATTTGAGAGGTAGTTAGCTGCATGCTGCGTTTTTAAGTAATATTACTGTATTTGATATAAATATCAGGCAGTTTTCACCACCAACCTGCCACCATGTTCTCAGTCATTATCAACCAAATTTTAGGAACGAGAAGAAGAAGAAGAAGAAGAAGAAGAAGAGAAGAAGAAGAAGAAGAAAGAAGAAGAAGAAGAAGAAGAAGAAGAAGAAGAAGAAAGAAGAAGAAGAAGAGAAGAAGAAGAAGAGAAGAAGAAGAAGAAAGAAGAAGAAGAAGAGAAGAAGAAGAAGAAGAAGAAGAAAAAAGAAATTTAGTTTTTTTCTGGTCAGAGTTTAGAATATGCAAAGCCGATTTAGAATTTAATTTCAGTTATTTTTAAATATATATATATATATATATTTATATTTATAATATGTATATAGTGATGCTTTATGTAATTTATATATATATATATATATATATATATATATATATATATATATATATATATATATTTATATTTATATATATGTATATATATATTTGTAGAGAGTGAATGGTTAATAATCATTATCATCCTCATGGTTAGATTGAGGATAATTCTCATAACTGTTCATTGCACAGCTTCAGGCAGAGACATCTTATCCTTTACCAAGGAAGGAAAATATAAATTGAAATGAGGCAATAACACCGTAGACTTTTCCATCGGTGCACATTATTATATTTAAGAGAAAATGGAAAACGGACAATGAGACGGATAAATGGATAAAACTTCCGGGAGAAAAATAAATTATAATGATAAAAGAAATACATATAATTTAAGAGTTCAGCGAGGACAGAGTCACAAAGGAGAAAGGCAGTTTTTAAGAAGACAAGCACACAAAATTGATCATTAAACTTCTAAATCCAATGTCACCTTACATTTAGTATTCCTGGTAAAAAATAAATTAATAACAAAACGCCGGCAAATCTTTAAATTAAAAAAAAACACACACGCTATCAAGGGACCTTATAACAACTCTATAAACAAACATACTATAGAGAAAAAAATAGATAAATAAAATTAAATAAATCAATAAAAATAAAAAACTAAATAAGTTCCCGAAAAGTAAATAATTTTAGGACCTTATAAACAAACAGGCTGTAGAAAAACATTAAATAAATAGATAAATAGAATTAAATAAACCAATAAATCAGTAAAGATTAAAAAAAATAAATAAATTCCCCCGAAAAGTAAATAATTTTAGGCCCGTAGTCGCCGAGACGCCGCGACAGCTGATCACAAGACGATTGTTGACTCAGGTGTTTGTCGGCCGTCCTGTGACTCCCCGGGACGCTTCTCTTATCTCTCATGGATTCCAAGGGCTATGTTACTTCAGTCCCGGGTGGTGATAGCTTCCTTGGAGATTCGGTGAGTCGTGTGGGTCGTTTATTTACGTCGTCCACGGCTTGGAAATCAGGAAAGAAATGGGGATTGATAGGTCTGTTAGTGAGGTTTGGAATTTGATATCTAATCACGTATTTTTTTTTTCTTTACGGTTCTGTGGGTGGATTCGGATTACTTGACGATACACTTGATTTAGTTGACTGTTTCAGATAAATC